TTTACTTTTGGATGACTCCAAGTAACACTATTTTAAGCAATTACTGTAATTTCTTATGTGGCTGTAAATTATATTCTAAACATAGTTTTTTTAGAAATATTTATTAGATATTGATGGTATTGGGTCTACTTGCCTAGCCACTACCTTTGTTTCCCTTTTTTTAACAGAACAAATCTACATTAAACATGTAACACTGTAACTGACACATTTTCTTCAAAAAGAATGAAGAGAAATTTGAAAAGTCGCCTATTAACACATCCCAGGTAAAACCAAAGTTTTGATGCTGGTTCATCCACAGAAATCAGCCCAAATGAATGAGAGTTTCCTGTTCTCTCCAAATCAATCCTGTCTTCCCACTCCTGCTGTCACTTACCTGATTCTGGTCCTACTAATCTCTCATCTGGACTATTCGAAGAGCATCCGACTTTGTATCTCTCACTCTGCTCTCTTCCTTTTACGACGTGTCCTCCACAACACTGACAAAGGACTTTGCAAAGGTTAATCTGTGAATAGATAAACAAAATGTTGGCATATACATACACAATATTATTCAGCCTTAGAAAGGAATGAAACGCTGGCCTATGCTACAACATGGGTAAACCTTGAAGATGTTATGTTAAGTGAAGTAAGTCAGACACAAAAGGATAAAGGTTGCATGGCTCCTCTTACTTGTGGTACCTAGAATAAGCAAATTCATAGAGACAGAAAGTAAATGGTGGTTACAAGGGCCTGGGAGAGAGGGTAATGGGAGTTATTGTTTAAAGGGTACAGAGTTTCTACTGGGGATGATGAAGTCTGGAGATAGTGGTGATGGTTGCATAGCACTGTGAATACATTTGATGCCATTGAATTGTACAATAAAAAATGGTTCAGGGCTTTCCTGGTGGCGCAGTGGTTGAGGGTCCGCCTGCCGATGCAGGGGACACAGGTTTGTGCCCCGGTCTGGGAAGATCCCACATGCCACAGAGCGGCTGGGCCCGTGAGCCACGGTCGCTGAGCCTGCGCGTCCGGAGCCTGTGCTCCGCAACGGGAGAGGCCACAACAGTGAGAGGCCCGCGTACCACAAAAAAAAAAAAAAAAAAAAGTGGTTCAGAGAAGCAAGAAGAACTACAGTCCTGCAGCCTGTGGAACAAAAACCACATTCATAGAAAGATAGACAAGATGAAAAGGCAGAGGGCTACGTACCAGATGAAGGAACAAGATAAAACCCCAGAAAAATGGCTCAAATGGTTTTATGTTACGTATATTTTATCACAATAAAACAATTTTAAAAGTATATCTATCCTATCATTTTTCTTGTTCAGAAATGATAATTATTTATAAAGTCCAAACTCCTTGGTATGATGGCAATAATCCTTCCGAATGGAGCTCCAGCTTATCTTTCCAACATTATCTCTGACACATCTACACCACAAACAACCCTACCTTTCAATCACATTGGCAAAGCGAGGGTCATTGAACATGTGCCTTACTCTGATCCTCTGTTCCTCGGCTCTCCAAGCTTCTTCAGCCTGACATGTGTGCTTTTTGCTTCCACTCCCTTCCTCCTGGCTGTGGAAACTTTACAGCCTTTGAAGGTTAACTCAGAACCAACTTCTCTGTGAGGTCTTCCTGCCAATATTGGAATTAATCACTCCCCCTTCAGATACCTAGTCACAATATATCTTTTTATAATTATTTTAAAACTCTGAATATAATGTGAGTTCCTTAGTGGCAAGGATTATTTATTGTTTGTCTTTCCATGCAATGATGATTTTCAGAGTAGGAACTAGGGTGAGGCAAGTGGAGGTCTTATGGCACAAAATTTGTATAACCTTAAGAGTTAATTCCTTCTTTTTTTGTATTTTTTTAATTGAGGTATGATTCATTTACAATGTTGCATTAGTTTCAAGTGTACAGCAAAGTGATTCAGTTATACATATATATGTTCTTTTTCAGATTCTTTTCCATTATAGGTTATTACAAGCTACTGAGTAGAGTTTCCTGTGCTAAACAGTAGGTCCTTGTTGTTTTATCTCTCTGCCCCTCCATCTCCCGTGCTATCCCCTTTGGTAACCATAAGTTCATTTTCTATGTGAGTTAATTCCTTCTTATATTTTATGCCGTACTGACCTCACTTCATCCTGGTCTCAACTCTGGTGATTAACAATTTACCTTGACATTTGTTAATGCTTATAATGCATTGTATTAGTTATCTACTACAGCATAACTAATTTCCCCATACCTTAGCAGCTTAAAACAATAAACACTTACTATTTCACAGTCTCTAAGGGTCAGCAATTTGGAAGTGTCCTAGGTTCTGACTTAGGATCTCTCATGAGGTTGCAGTAAAGATATTAATGGGGGCTGTAGTCTTCTTTAGGTTTGACTGGAGCAAAAGCATCAGATTCCCAGGTGGTTCACTTACATGACTGTTGGTGGGACACTTCAGTTCCTTGACATGGAGGTCTCTCCCTCAGGGCTGCTTGAGTGCCCTCACACATGGCAGCTGACTGCCTTTAGAGCAAGTGATCCAAGAGCGGGGCACGGCAGGAGCTGTAATGTCTTTTATGTCTTAGCCACAGAAATCACACACTGTCATTGCCTCACTATCCTGTGGTTATACATGTCAACCCTACTAAGTGAAAGAGGGGACAACCCAGGATAGGAATACTAGGAGGCGGTGATCTTTGGGGGTCATCTTAGAGGATAGCTTCCATAGACATGCTAGTTTGATTATATTGATTAGATTACCTAGCAGCAGGTCAGTATTACTTCTGGCATCTGTTACTATTATCTTCTGAAGTTGATATTTGCTTTTTATTTTTAAATCATTGAATAAATAAAATTGTTAACATTTTATAAATGGACAATACATCTGAGTCATTCTCCTTTGTTCTTTTTAAAAAAAATTTATTTATTTCCTTATTTATTTTTGGCTGCATTGGGTCTTTGTTGCTGCATTTAGGCTTTCTCTAGTTGCGGCGAATGGGGGCTACTCTTCATTGTGGTGCACGGGCTTCTCATTACAGTGGCTTCTCTTGTTGCGGAGCATGGACTCTAGGTCCGCGGGCTTCAGTAGTTGTGGCACGCAGGCCCAGTAGTTGTGGTGCACAGGCTTAGCTGCTCCGCAGCATGTGGGATCTTCCCGAACCACGGCTTGAACCCGTGTCCCCTGCATTGGCAGGCGGATTCTTAACCACTGCACCACCAGGGAAGTCCCCTGACTCATTTTTCAATCCTCCATTAGTAGTACAGTGTTTTGCACTCAGAGGCAGCTTGATTGATGTATAATATCCAGAGAGGCTGTCATTTTCAATATCTGTTTAGAACTAGAGCTGACTAAATTGACAAATTAAAGTAGAAATAATAGAGCTGATAACTAGAGCTGATAACTAGAATAATAGAGCTGATAACTTGAGCTGCTTAGAGCTCAAGGCCAAGCTTGGAAAAGCATGAGATCATAAGGAATGTGTAAAGAATGATTATTTCCTTTTTTCTGTAAATACAAAATATTTTTATAATTATTGTTACTGTTATCTGGCCCCAAGCATTCCTCTCTCTTAGTAATAATATAGTGCAGTGGCTCTGAAGAGAGAATTCCATCTCCCTTTCCCACTAGCTCTGTAGCCTTGAACATATTATGTAACTTTTCTGTGCCTTAGTTTCCTTGTCTACATAATAAAGTAGACAGTATCACTTCTTAGGTTTGTTGTGAGTATTAAATAAGGTAATTCAGGTAGAACATTCAGCATAATGCTCAATTAGTGTTAACTTATTTATTTATTTATTTAAAACTCTAATCCAGCCACCTCTAACCATTATTGTCAGACATTGGTCTTTAGATTCCTAATGTCATACCTTTGTTCACATCATTCTTTCAGCTTCAAATTAAAAGACTTGCCCCTTCTCCCATTATGCTAAATATATTCTTTTCTTCAAGGAATAGTCTAAGCAATTTCCCTGACCATGAAAATGTCTGCTTGTGCTCCAGTGCTCCAATGCTTCATATCAACACCTTCTCCTAAGCTCCCTTAGCACAATCAAATCCTGTGTTGCCTTGTTTTATTTTGTATCTTAGACTCTTCATCCCCTCTCCTATAGAAGAGAGGTTTCATATCTTATAGAAAACTCACTGTAACCCTGATCTATAGATTATTGGTCAATGAAGGCTTGTTAATGATGAAGATGTAGACTGTCTAATGTAACATTACTTACAATTAGATTCTTAATAAATGCTTCTTTATCACAAGCAATGAACAGATTTTATTGTTATCATGAATAAGTCAAGAATATGTTCTTGCTTTATATTGATTCAAGTTACAACTCTGAACATGATTGCAGTTTTTTAAAGAATGAAAGCACAATATAGACTGTTAAAATTTCAAGATCCTAAAGAAGTATGGGTTTAAAAAAATTTTTTTTTCTTAATTCTAGAGTGGGAAGAAGATAGAAAATGCAAGCCTGTTTGATTTAAAGAAGGCTCTATCAATGTTAACAATTTTAACTACAGTGTCAGATTTGGGTCAGTCTACTTCAAAATGAAAGATATGTTCTATTTTGGAAGGCTAGGAAAGCAAGAATAAGATTGTAGACTTCCAGGTTTGAACCAAGTTGTTTATATGTATTAATGTATCCAATCCTTATAGTAAGGCTGTTATTGTCTTACTGTGTTATTATTGTACCCTTTACAGACAAGAAATCTAGAGCTCAGAGAAACTAAGCAACTTGCCTGAAAAAGTGACAGAGCTGAAATTTTAATTTAAGTCTGCAGGCTCCCATGCGTGAACAGAAACTCTGAAAATCTTCTCCACCACCACACAGCACTGGTTTTCATGCTGTACGATATGCAGGTCACACAGGGTTGTGACAGTACAATGATGCCACAGGAGTGAGGAGCAGCCTTCTCCCCCAGGGCATAGCTTTTCCAGAGTTTCCTTCTCAGTTGTCCATCCTTCCAAAGACCACAGCTGCTTTAAAAGGACACAGTTTCTTTAAGAGGAAACACTGAAATGTAAAACATTGCCTTAAGAGATGCTGTGCTTTTGGACTCAATTACAGGAGCGTTGGGAGCACCATTTTTATTGGAGGACCCATCAAACCAGTTCCTACATCTGAAAAGACACATATATTTTCAGGATTACTGGAACCCAGATCACAGTCCGAATACATGGGGAAACACACTGACTGATCAGGTATTTGCATTAGAAACAAATGGCCTTTCACCATCTCTCTTTTTATTTTATTTTTTTAATTTAATTTTTTTATTTTTTAAACTTTTTATTTTATATTGGAGTACAGTTGATTAACAATGTTGTGTTAGTTTCAGGTGTACAACAGAGTGATTCAGTTATACATACACAACATCTCTCTTTTTAAATAGGCATGGTTTCAGCTGGCATTAACATACCACCAGCCCAATTCCTAGTTTTTCTCTCTAGCTGCCCTGAGCTATACCTGCTTTTCCCTCCCCATGGAGTGGCTTTCATCTGGTAAATTCCACCTCCTCTTTCAAGATTAAGATCAAATGTCCCTCCTTTCTGAAGCTTTTTCCTTCTTCCCAGGAAGGCATTTGTCCTTCCTTTTTCTCTCCCCTTTGCAGGCTGTTCACATGTGAATAGCTCTCAAATGTCACCCTGGAATTATTTGTCGTATGTACCCAATCTCCCTAGCTAGACTACAAAGTAAGGTGCTTGTCTTATCCATCAAGGTCATTATTCTCAAGTTTCAGTGAACTAATTATTACATGTTTGGGTAGGTAGATGGATGGACCATTATCACATTTCAGTTCCCCCTTAGCTGTTCAGTAACTAATTTTCCTCCATGATAATTATCTAAGCCTTTAATGTCATTCCTTCATTTGCTTGCTTCTTGTACATTTTCCTACTTACTTATATTCTCACCCCAAGAGAAACAAAGAAGAAACTTTCATTAGCCAGTTTTATTTCATGCTTACCTTTTTGATGGAAGATGACATTGAAACTCCGGGTCAAATGAAGCTGCTGAATTATCTGAGAATTTCAATTATTCATGATTTCCCTCTACAATTTAGCAACTTAGAAAACAAAAATGTACAATTAATAATTTAATTAATTCTTTCACTTATTTTTCTTTCTTTTCACATGTATCAGGCTCTCACTATCACCAGGCATGAGGGTTGTATCATGTCATAAAGAAACTGAAGTCCTTGTTCTTCTGGGGCCTGGGTCCTATCCTTATTCTGCTTGGCTGGGTTTTAGCTCATCCACTAGGATCAGTTTCTGCTTAGCAATTGTTGATGAAAACCACCAGCTTGAATAATGCATTTAGTTTTATACCTGTTTTTCTCCAACAGGCATCATGTAGAAGTATTAAAACAAGACATTTGTTTATTCAGCAAATTAAATAATTACATAAGCTGGTAGACTGTGTCTTCTTTATGGAATATTGAAATTTTCAAGCACACTCCTGCCTAGAATTGTAGACCATTGCTGTAATCAACTGACAAATACCATAATGTAACAAGACCCTACTACATTTGTTCATACTGTGGCCCCTCACATACTGCAAAACATTTGAGCACCGAAGTAAACAGGTCACTAAAAGTGTGAAAACCAAACCTTACTCAGTATTATTCTTCCACTGTATTTCTGTCAGTCTTTTGAGAATACCTGCATGATAATCAGAATACTTGATGCAACATGTGTTCTAAATACTCAGAGATCGTGACTTGAGTTTCCTTTTGTTGCAGGCTCATGAAACATGGACTGCTTTGAAAACAACAGCACAGTATTATCTGAATGTGAATACTTTCACTCTTGACATGTCTACTGCCCAGTAAATGTGCTTTGCTGGTTAAATCAGGATAGCAAGAATAGAGGGAGACAAAAAGTGGCGATGTACCCAAACAACCAGCTTTGGAGACCTGAGGGCAAATCCATACCGTCTACTAGGTTATTTATTATGTCTGCCTCATGGAGCTGTTGAAAGGAGTAAATACGAAAACCCACATATAGACCTAGAATTAGAAATTCTCAATAAATGGTAGCTCTTAAAATGAGAACTAAAATAGAGACTGTAGTAATAACATTTACCAAAAAGGGGCTTTCATGGGAAAAGGAACTACAAAACAAAACAGTTGTGTCATTAAAATTGTCTGTCCAAAAAGAAAAAAAACCTCTCTGTTCGTAGCTCCGGCTTTCTATTGACTCTTCTTTAGGAGAGTTAGTTCACTTTTAATCCAAGGAAGGAAATGGGATCTCTCAAATGGAGCTCATCCTCTCCTCTTTTCTTCAATACTTGTCATTTCCTAAAGCCAGTCTATTCCAAGACCATATTTTTGAAACTGTTTTTAATCAACGCTGTACTGCTGGACTTCCCTGGTGGCACAGTTGTTAAGAATCCGCCTGCCAATGCAGGAGACATGGGTTCGAGCCCTGGTCTAGGAAGATCCCACGTGCTGCAGAGCAACTAAGCCGGTGTGCCACAACTACTGAAACCCGCGCGCCTAGATCCCGTGCTCCACAACAAAAGAAACCACTGCAACGAGAAGCCCGTACACCACAACCAAGAGTAGCCCCCTCTCGCCACAACTAGAGAAAGCCCACATGCAGCAATGAAGACCCAATGCAGCCAAAAGTAAATAAGTAAAAAAAAAAAAAGCTGTATTGCTGTGGGCAATAGAGAATCAAATCTTAACTCATACTGGGAAACATGATGATTAGGAATCCACTGGAAGCCACGTATCTGTAAAGTCTTCCTTAGCAATTTTGTAAAATTTGTGCAAGTTTTGCATTCTGGTCTGTAATATATTTATGTTTGCTTCACTATGAAATAATTTTAAAGAAATCTCACACCCGTTATCAGTCACTCCCCAACCCCCCCATGCCCCAGGCCTAGTAACCACTAATAAACTTTCTGTAGTTATAAAAAACTGATAGAAATAACATTTTAAACTTACTGGCCATGTGCTTTTATTAATCTTTCCAATAAAGCTGAAAAATTGACTCTATGGAAAACTGGACTACATTTATCCTAGAGTTTCCCATATATCCATGGAATACTTCAGTACTCTAGCTTGAGAAGTACTGAGAGATGATCTACCCAATCACCAAGACTGCCCCCCATAATCACAGATAAGTGGACTTTTTGCCTTCAGAAGTCTATTTCTCTGTATATCTAGGTCAATTGGTCTCTTCAGGGATTTCTTTTGGTAAATAGAAACATCCCCCACAAGACCATAGCTGGTCTTAGGTGGTCTTAAAACAGTCTTAAGCACTTTTTCAGCAACAAAAATCAGATGCCAAGAAGCTGCACTGTAAAGACTCTGGCCCAGCACTTTCTTCTCCAAAAGGGCACCAGCAGCTGCTCAATATTCCGCATTTCTTATCCCATCCCTTAGAGGTATTCTCAGTGAGAAATTTGAGGCTAATACATAATTTATTGTGTTAACTGTTATTCATCTCTAATACATATAAACGTAGATTTTTAAATCAAAACACAACTGAATAGACAAGAGAAAGAAAACGAATCATTTGGTTTTGCACTAAGAAACAAACTTGACAACAGTGATATACATTTTGCTACCACAAAGTTCTACTCTTTGATTGTTTAATAAAAAATTAGAGAATGCCTATGTACTGGTCAGGGTTTCCCAGAGAGGTGGAATCAATAGAATATCTATATAAATAAAAAGAGAATTATTTTAAAGAATTGACTCATGTTTACAGATGCTGGCAAGTCCAAAACTACAGGGTAGGTTAGCAGACTGGAGACCAGAGAAGCACCAACGTTGCAATTCAGGTCTAAAGGCCATTGGGCTAGAAAATCACGGAAGAGCCAATCTTGCAGTCTAAGTCCTCAGGCCATGTGCTGGTAGAATTCCCTCTTGCTCAGAAGAGGTCGGCCTGTTGTTCTATTCAGGCCTTCAACTGATTGGATGAGGCCTACCCACATTATGGAGGGCAATCTGCTTCACTCAAAGTCCACCAATTTAAGGGTTAATCTCATCCAAAAACACCCTTGCTGAAACACCCAGAATTATGTTTAACCACATATCTGGGCAGAGTGGCCAGCTGAGTTGACACATAAAGTTAACTACTACAACAAAGTTTAAGTTATTTAGATTGTCGACACATATTCACACACACACACTCACCAAGCTGTGATTGGAGCAACATATGGTGGAAAAAAAAAGAAAAAGACTTTCATCCATTCATTTTATTCAGTATACCACAAGAAAGAAGCTTGGTGGCTTGTGGGGCACTAATAATGGGAAATTATAAGTTAGCTGCCAGGTTGATTTTGATTTAGATAACACTAAGAAGAGATTCTGCAATTAGGTTGTTATCTGATCAAACAAGCATGGAAAGGCGGTTTCTTGTCTAAACAATTTTAAGAAATTATTAGAAATTAACAGGATGTCAGAAAATGAACAAACAAAACAGAGACAACCTAGGTCCACCTAAAATACTTTATGTAGAAATCTAGTAGTTAACTTCCACATAGCTGAGCAGGAAGAGGTGACTACTCAGTTGTACAGATAGGATTCAAGAAAACCCAGGTAATACATATTTAGCATCTGCATACAAAATTGCCTTAGACTACAAGAACTCTGAATTCAGGGCTTAAAGATATTGATCATATTGAGGTAGCAATTATCTGGCTGACTCACTCTAACTGATTATTTTCCCAGTGGTATGTGAATTGACATAGTGATTTTTTTTTGGTAGGGGTGGGGGACTCCTTTATGTCTGTATCTAATTTACAAATTGTATGTAAAATCTGCCTTTTTAAAGACTGAAGATTCATTCAATTTTTTTTTTTTTCGATACGCGGGCCGCTCACTGTCGTGGTCCCTCCCGTTGCGGAGCGCAGGTTCCGGACGCGCAGGCTCAGCGGCCATGGCTCATGGGCCCAAGCCGCTCCGCGGCATGTGGGATCTTCCCAGACCGGGGCACGAACCCGTGTCCCCTGCATCGGCAGGCGGACTCTCAACCACTGCGCCACCAGGGAAGCCCTCTTTCAACATTTTTAAGAGACCAGAACAAACTAAAGCAATCTGGACAATATTAGGAAAAATAGAGAGGATCAGAGATGACACTTTTCCTCACTTACTTCCTGAGCCTCTACATGACCTCCATGGTTGGGTGTTTACATGTTCCACTGCAGCATTAAGAACATAACTGCTGTGGTGACTCTGAATTCTTCTAAGTAGAAGGTTTTCATTTTAAGGTCTAAAGGGAACCATGTTGATTTGCCCTCTTTGTCTGATTGATTAAATAGGCACAGTATTTAAGTGGAAGTGACTGATAATGATATTCCCACAAAATTCAGACTCCCCTGAGACTTCAGTGCAAATTTGAGGCTCACCAACTTCACTCTTATTGCATAAACAGTATCTGTTAAGTTTTCCTGTATTTTTATAGAACCAGTCAACAAATATGCCAAAGATCAGACTGACCCTTTTAATGGTCTCTTGGACACTCTACCCTCTAGTATTCCTGTAATTCTGTTTCATAGGTTCCCAGTGGATGTTTCAATGCTAAACTGGTCCAAGGAAATAATTCCAAGCCTTCCTCAATGCAATTCATGAGAAGCATGGTTCTAATATTGTTATATATCCTGCTCAAAAACCTGTTGTTTTAAAACTTTTGACTGATGAAGAGGGGAGGAAATAACATGTTTTTTATTGACATAGACTTTGCTGTGTACTATACTAGACAGTTTATATACTTAGATATATTCCCCAGATAGAGCTAACTAGAGGTAGCTCTAAAATAGTAATTAAAATGTCTACATTTAAATACTGGCTTCACCATTGCTAGCTATGCCATCTTGTGGAATTAATTACCCCTCTGGGCCTCAGTTTCCTCTTCTGTAATATGGGAATAATTGGACTTACTTAATGTGAGGAATACTTAAAATGATATACATAAAGCACTTAGAACACTGCCTGGCATGTAAATAAACACTCAATAAAAGTCAGCTATTCTAAAAAAGAAAAGTTAGCTATTATTCTTACCTTGCCGAATGTTTCATGACAGTTCATGCCCTTTTCACTGTATCACAATTTTGCTCCTGAATTCTGTTGCCCAGAACTCAAAGCTCCCCATGATCTCGCCCCTCTCCTATTATTTCCTCTACTCTCCTCAAATACTCTTGCTATGTTGCATCCTTTATTGATTCATTTATTTACTTATTTAACGAACACCATGGCCATCTTTCTTTGGCCTAGTCAAGGTAGAGGTACAAAGAGGACTGAGACACACTCCCTTCTCCACAGAGCTTTAAATTCAGGAAGAGATATAAGTATCCACTGTATTAATACAGATGAATTACAGAAACTCAATTTACAAATCATGTGTGCACAGAGGATAGAGAGCTTACTCAGCCTGGGGGCATCAGGGAAAGCTTCACTGAGGAGATAACTTTAGATTTAGGTTTCAAAGGACACGTAAGAATAACATGTAGGGCTGCCCTGGTGGCGCAGTCGTTGAGAGTCCGTCTGCTGATGCAGGGGACATGGGTTCGTGCCCCGGTCCAGGAAGATCCCACATGCCGCGGAGCGGCTGGGCCTGTGAGCCATGGCCACTGAGCCTGCGCGTCCGGAGCCTGTGCTCCGCAATGGGAGAGGCCACAACAGTGAGAGGCCCACGTACTGGAAAAAAAAAAAAAAGAATAACATGTATATGCCATCACTATAATGACAGCTTTTCTATGATACTATATTTAATACTTATAGTATATATTTAAACTAATATTATTATAGTATAAATTTATACTATTACACTATTGTAGTATAAGTGTTTTAAGATCAAAATTTACATGAGATTTGTATTTGCAACTCCACCAATATCCAGGACAGTGCCTGGTATGCAGTGAGAATTTGATGAATCAATTGGTACTGTTAAGAAGGATGACTATCAGGGAGGTAAGTAGTATTCACAAGAGTTTCCTGTTACCTTTTGCTATAGACTGAACGTTTGTGACTCCCCCAAAATTCATATGTTGTATTCTAATCCCCAATGTAATGGGTTTGGAGGTGGGAACTTTGAGGTGATTAGGTCAGAGAGTGGAACTTTCATGAATGGGATTAGTGCCCTTATGAAAAAG